ACCTCCCCGAGTGGCCCCTCCCTTTTTGGCCCCTATCGGGCTTTATTTGGCCGAGATATGACCATTTAAAGTTTACGGGGTAGTTATATCGTTTTGAAGCGAAATAACTCCGCCGATCTAAAAAAATCATGGAGATATGACGTTTCAAAGCGACATAACTTCGCCATAGATCTTGGTGGTTTCTATGAACCTCCCCGAGTATCCCATCCCTTTTTGACCATAATCGGGCTTTATTTGGCCGAGATATGACCATTTAAAGTTTTCGGGGTAGCTATGTCGTTTTGAAGAGACATAAGTCCGCCAATCTAAAAAAATCATGGAGATATGACGTTTCAAAGCGACATAACTTCGCCATAGATCTTGGTGGTTTCTATGAACCTCCCCGAGTATCCCATCCCTTTTTGACCATAATCGGGCTTTATTTGGCCGAGATATGAACATTTAAAGTTTTTCCAAAAAATTCGTGTGGTTGTGTGACATAGAAGTAACGCAAAGCTTTGCATACTTTCGAGCTGTTCACATAAAGAAAAATGCAGAACGACATAATCTCGCCATGATCAGCGGCGGAGTTATGTCGTTTTGAAGCGACATAACTCCGCCGATCTAAAAAAATCATGGAGGTATGACGTTTTAAAGCGACATAACTTCGCCGTCAATCTTTGCGGATTCTACGGACTTCGCCGAGTAGCCCCTCCCTTTTTGGCCCCTATCGGGCTTTATTTGGCCGAGATATAGCCATTTAAAGTTTACGGGGTAGTTATGTCGTTTTGAAGCGACATAAGTCCGCCAATCTAAAAAAATCATGGAGATATGACGTTTCAAAGCGACATAACTTCGCCATAGATCTTGGTGGTTTCTATGAACCTCCCCGAGTATCCCATCCCTTTTTGACCATAATCGGGCTTTATTTGGCCGAGATATGAACATTTAAAGTTTTTCCAAAAAATTCGTGTGGTTGTGTGACATAGAAGTAACGCAAAGCTTTGCATACTTTCGAGCTGTTCACATAAAGAAAAATGCAGAACGACATAATTTCGCCATGATCAGCGGCGGAGTTATGTCGTTTTGAAGCGACATAACTCCGCCGATCTAAAAAAATCATGGAGGTATGACGTTTCAAAGCGACATAACTTCGCCGTCAATCTTTGCGGATTCTACGGACTTCGCCGAGTAGCCCCTCCCTTTTTGGCCCCTATCGGGCTTTATTTGGCCGAGATATAGCCATTTAAAGTTTTCGGGGTAGTAATGTCGTTTTGAAGCGACATAACTCCGCCGATCTAAAAAAATCATGGAGATATGACGTTTCAAAGCGACATAACCTCACCGTCGATCTTGGCGGATTCTACGGACCTCGCCGAGTAGCCCCTCCCTTTTTTGCCCCTATCGGGCTTTATTTGGCCGAGATATAGCCATTTAAAGTTTTCGGGGTAGTTATGTCGTTTTGAAGCGACATAACTCCGCCGATCTAAAAATATTAAGGAGATATGCCGTTTCAAAACGACATAACTTCGCCGTCGATCTTGGCGGATTCTACGGACCTCGCCGAGTAGCCCCTCCCTTTTTTGCCCCTATCGGGCTTTATTTGGCCGAGATATAGCCATTTAAAGTTTTCGGGGTAGTTATGTCGTTTTGAAGCGACATAACTCCGCCGATCTAAAAATATTAAGGAGATATGCCGTTTCAAAACGACATAACTTCGCCGTCGATCTTGACGGATTCTACGGACCTGTCCGACTAGCCCCTCCCTTTTTGACAATAATCGGGCTTTATTTGGCCGAGATATGAGCATTTAAAGTTTTCGGGGTAGTTATGTCGTTTTGAAACGACATAACTCCGCCGATCTAAATTAATCATGGAGATATGACGTTTCAAAGCGACATAACTTCGCCGTCGATCTTGGCGGATTCTACGGACCTCCCCGAGTAGCCCCTCCCTTTTTGGCCTCTATCAGGCTTTATTTGGCCGAGATATAGCCGTTTAAAGCTTTCGGGGTAGTTATGTCATTTTGAAGCGACATAACTCCGCCGATCTAAAAAAATCATGGAGATATGACGTTTCAAAGCGACATAACTTCGCCGTCGATCTTGGCGGATTCTACGGACCTCATCGAGTAGCCCCTCCCTTTTTGGCCCCTATCGGGCTTTATTTGGCCGAGATATGACCATTTTAAGTTTTCGGGGTAGTTATGTTGTTCTGAAGCGACATAACTCCGCCGATCTAAAAAAATCATGGAGATATGACGTTTCAAAGCGACATAACTTCGCCGATCTAAAAAAATCATGGAGATCTGACGTTTTAAAGCGACATATCTCCGCCGATCTAAAAAATTCATTTCAAAGCGACATACCTTCGCCGTCGATCTTGGCGGATTCTACGGACCTCCCCGAGTAGCCCCTCCCTTTTTGGCCCTTATCGGGCTTTATTTGGCGGAGATATGACCATTTAAAGTTTTTCCAAAAAATTCGTGTGGTTGTGTGACATAGAAGTAACGCAAAGCATTGCATACTTTCGAGCTGTTCACATAAAAAAAAATGCGGAACGACATAATCTCGCCATGATCAGCGGCGGAGTTATGTCGTTTTGAAGCGACATAACTCCGCCGAACCAAAAAAAATCATGGATATATGACTTTTCAAAGCGACATAGCTTCGCCGGCGATCTTGGCGGACTCTACGGACCTCCCCGAGTAGCCCCTCCCTTTTTGGCCCATATCGGGCTTTATTTGGCCGAGATATAGCCACTTAAAGTTTTCGGGGTTGTTATGTCGTTTTAAAGCGACATAACTCCGCCGATCTAAAAAAATCATGGATATATGACTTTTCAAAGCGACATAGCTTCGCCGTCGATCTTGGCGGATTCTACGGACCTCATCGAGTAGCCCCTCCCTTTTTGGCCCCTTTCGGGCTTTATTTGGCCGAAATATGACCATATAAAGTTTTCGGGGTAGTTATGTCGTTTTGAAGCGACATAACTCCGCCGATCTAAAAAAATCATGGAGATATGACGCTTCAAAGCGACATAACTTCGCCGTCGATCTTGGCGGATTCTATGGACCTCCCCAAGTAGCCCATCCCTTTTTGACCGTTACCGGGCTTTATTTGGCCGAGATATGACCATTTAAAGTTTTTCCATAAAATTCGTGTGGGTGTGTGGCATAGAAGTAACGCAAAGCATTGCATACTTTCGAGCTGTTCACATAAAAAAAAATGCAGAACGACATAATCTCGCCATGATCAGCGGCGGAGTTATGTCGTTTTGAAGCGACATAACTCCGCCGAACCAAAAAAAATCATGCAGATATGACGTTTCAAACCGACATAACTTCGCCGTCGATCTTGGCGGATTCTACGGACCTCCCCGAGTAGCCCCTCCCTTTTTGACCCCTATCGGGCTTTATTTGGCCGAGATATGACCATTTAAAGTTTTCGGGGTAGTTATGTTGTTCTGAAGCGACATAACTCCGCCGATCTAAAAAAATCATGGAGATATGACGTTTGAAGCGACATAACTTCGCCGATCTAAAAAAATCATGGAGATATGACGTTTTAAAGCGACATATCTCCGCCGTTCTAAAAAATTCATTTCAAAGCGATATACCTTCGGCGTCGATCTGGGCGGATTCTACGGACCTCCCCGAGTAGACCCTCCCTTTTTGGCCTTTATCTGGCTTTATTTGGCCGAGATATGACCATTTAAAGTTTTTCCAAAAAATTCGTGTGGTTGTGTGACATAGAAGTAACGCAAAGCATTGCATACTTTCGAGCTGTTCACATAAAAAAAAATGCAGAACGACATAATCTCGCCATGATCAGCGGCGGAGTTATGTCGTTTTGAAGCGACATAACTCCGCCGAAAAAAAAAAATCATGCAGATATGACGTTTCAAAGCGACATAACTTCGCCATAGATCTTGGCGGTTTCTATGGACCTCCCCGAGTATCCCATCCCTTTTTGACCGTAATCGGGCTTTATTTGGCCGAGATATAGCCATTTAAAGTTTTCGGGGTAGTTATGTCGTTTTGAAGCGACATAACTCCGCCGATCTAAAAAAATCATGGAGATTTGACGTTTCAAAGCGACATAGTTTCGCCGTCGATCTTGGCGGACTCTACGGACCTCCCCGAGTATCCCATCCCTTTTTGACCGTAATCGGGCTTTATTTGGCCGAGATATAGCCATTTAAAGTTTTTCCAAAAAATTCGTGTGGTTGTGTGACATAGAAGTAACGCAAAGCATTGCATACTTTCGAGCTGTTCACATTAAAAAAAATGCAGAACGACATAATCTCGCCATGATCAGCGGCGGAGTTATGTCGTTTTGAAGCGACATAACTCCGCTTATCTAAAAAAATCATGGAGATATGACGTTTCAAAGCGACATAACTTCGCCGATCTAAAAAAATCATGGAGATATGACGTTTTAAAGCGATATATCTCCGCCGATCTAAAAAATTCATTTCAAAGCGACATAGCTTCGCCGTCGATCTTGGCGGATTCTACGGACCTCCCCGACTAACCCCTCCCTTTTTGGCTCCTATCGGGCTTTATTTGGCCGAGATATAGCCATTTAAAGTTTTCGAGGTGGTTATGTCGTTTTGAAGCGACATATTTCCGACTATCTAAAAAAATCATTGAGATATGACGTTTTAAAGCGACATAACTTCGCCGTCGATCTTGGCGGATTCTACGGACCTCCGTGAGTATCCCCTCCCAATCTGCCCTCTATCGGGCTTTATTTGGCCGAGATATAGTCACTTAAAGTTTTCCAAAGAAGTTCGTGTGGTTGTGGACATATTAGTAAAACAAAGCATTGCACGCAAAATACGCTTTAGCCTAGTAGCCTAGTACTTTTGATCCGCCCATAAAAATAGCCCAATACACAAGCACATTGCAGCAACATTGATCAAATATTAAAATGGAAATAGCTCGGCTAAATTCCGTCCGATTTCGGAATGATATACCTCTTTCAACTCGTTTTCCGAAGGTTAAAAAACTCAGCGAATTGAAACGCGAAAAAGATTTCGAAATTTATTAATTAACTGATTTTCTACAAATCACAAACAATTGCAGATACTATCGAATCGGGTTACAACATACATTTAAAAGGTATAATTTAAATTAAATTTGTGGCTTAATAATTTATGGTCGCAACGAATTAGATATGGTATTTCGCGAATTAAGTGCTGTCAAGCTGCGTAGAGGTGGCTACGCTCCGATTAGCTGCGGATTCGGTTGATGGATATATATTTCTTATATCGATTTGAAATCCTTTCGCGCGGTTTGTTAGTTGGTTTGTCAACAGCATCGGAATTAAATAACTTTTGTGAAATACATACATATATATAATAAGCATAATAGGTGTGGTTCTCGTATATAATTCGATTATGATATGATGAATAAATAATATAAACATAGTTTGTGTGTGTGTCGGATATATATATATATATATATATATGGGGATATATAGTCTGCTACTGTGATATCTAATTCGATTTCGTGTCGTTTGCAGTTTTCATTTCCGTTCATTTAAAATTAGGTTAACAGTTCAAAAAACAAATTAAAAGGAAATTAAGTATAATGGTTGGGCATCATTTACTTTGATAATTGCAATAAAAAGCTATGCGAACAGCTCACTGTTACGCTTGGGGCTTATTTAAGAACTGTTGTTGCAAGTAAATAGAGTTGCTGTTGTTGTTGTTGTTGTCCTTGTTGTTGGTGTAGTTGTTAGTGTGCGTGATCCCTGAAGTCCAAAGTCGAGCTGTTAAAGATCTGTTCCGACCTTAGCGCGCATGATTCTTGCAGAAGGGACGACCGCCCTTGTTGTAGAAGCTCTGACCCTCCAGGTTTTGTTTGCAGAACTGTTCAGGAATATCGATTAGAATTGGGTTTCAAAATGGATCCGTTTTTGAGTCTGCGGACAGAGATACTCACAGTGCAGTTGAAGCATTGGCTATGATAGTTGTGATTGAGTGCCTCCACCCATCTGTCGCCGGCTTCGACGGGGAAGCCGCAAGCGAAGCACTTGGTGGTGAACAGTTCGTTCCAATCGGCCTCGCAGTACGCATTGCCGTCCTCCAGGAAGAAGGGCGTGTTGCCAAAGATCTTGCCGCACTGGCCGCACGTAAAGCACTCGGGATGGAAGTGCTTGCCAATGGCATTTAAGCAATCGCCCTAAAAAAAGGATTTGTAAGTGTGTGCGTTTTTTTCAAATTGAGTGCGGAGTTGGCAATTACCTTGATCTTGCCAGCGCACTTGCTGCAGGTGGGCGCCAGATACTTCTCGAAACAGTACTCGCAGTAGAGATCGCCTTTCTCCTCAACGAAGCCAATGTCCTGCAGCGGACGACGGCAGTTGCCGTTCACGCAAATGAAGTGATCCGGACACCAGATGCGGCCCAAAGCCGTAATGAAGGGACCCCTGAAAAAGTACACAACAGCATGATTCAGTAAAAGGGATCAAATGAGAACGCAAAGGCGGACGACGAGTAGGCAGGTGCAGGTGCAGGAGCAGGTGCAGGCAAGGCTACTTACGATGTAATCTCCTTGTTGCACTGACAGCAGACTGGACGCTTGCCATCCTTGAGCAACTGACTTACGGCCTTCTCGTTCTCCTCAGACATGGGCGCCTGGTCATCGCTCTGTGGACCCAGCGCCCGGACACAAACGCTGAAACTGGGCGCATTTGCCGAACTGTTATCCTTCTCATTGTTGTTGTTGTTATTGTTATTAGGCAGACTCTGCTTGGGCTCTATGTAGGAGCGCCGATCGGCGGCATGTGTGGCGCCCGTGCGTCTTAGATTATTTCTAAAGGCCACCGGCTCCGGCGCCTGCTGCGCCTGGCTCATTGTTGACGTCGTCGACTTGCCACTATCACATATGTCGAGTATCTTACTCATGGGATGCTGTGCGGGCAGCTCGGCCTGCAGCGTCTGCTCCACACGCGCCACCTGCGGCTGCGCCTGCTGCTTGCCGGGCTCACTCGGCAGCTGCTTTAGTAAAGGCTGCGGCGGTTGGGGCGGCTGGGGCAGCACAGCCACAACGGACTGGAGGGCCACCGGCTGCGTGGGATCAATGTGCTTGAAGTCGTCCAGATCCAGGCGCTTGCGCACAATCATGGGACTCTTGGTCAGATTGGAGCTGCTGTTGCTGCGTAGGCTCAGCGTGCTGCCACTGTGCGAGGGCGTGGCACTGCTATTGCTGGCGAGGCGCGCCTCCAACATGTTAGATATGATTTTGCCGGCCTCCTGCATAAAGGCGTGCGTCTGCTCGCCCATGTTGATCTTGCCAATGGAGTCGGCCAACATTGCCGTGGCATCGGCATCGGCATCGGCATCCGCAGTCGCATCTCCTGTCGTTGGCGCCTGGTCAGTTGCTCTCTGTGGGCGTGGCAGCGTGGCATTTGGATAAGCATGCGTGTTATTGGGCTTGGAGGCTAGCGAAGGGATCGCTGCAACAATGAAACGAAAACGAGAACGAAAAACAACAAACAAGTTTTAGGGGGTTAGAGCTTGAAACATGCGCAGAATTAATAAGTTATTAGATAAGCTTAGATTAAATTAGATTTAATTAAACTGGAGATAATTGGGGCAAACATGCGAGCTGCGAGAACGAGAACGAACAACATAAACTGGAGAAACTTCGTATTGTTGGGAACTGTTCACCTGATCTGCACATTGCAGCTGTTGCACAGCGGGATGCGCACCCCCGGTCCGGCGGCCTTGTTGAGAATGCCGCGTCCACGTTTCGGTGCCGATGTGGCACCAAAGGCACCGCTCTTGCCGCCAGCACCTGTGGAACCATCAACATTAGAGTTCAAGTCACATATATTGGGCGGAAAACTAGCTGGCGCGGGCGGAGCAGCGGCGGCGGCAATTGTTGGCTTTGGCGCAGTCTGAGCTGCATTAGAAGCATTTTTATTTGGCAGCTTGGCCAGCGCAGCGCTTAGGCTGCTGCCAGTGGCTGCAGCTGCTGCTGCGCCCCTGTAGGCGGCGCAGGCTTGATTATTAGTCGTGGTAGTAATAGCAGAAGCTTTGGTTAGACTGGCTTGCGCCGACCTTGATGCTGATGCTGATGATGATGTAGATGCGGATGTAATTGCTGAGGCTGAGGCGAGCGATGAGCTGTTGGCATGAGAGCGCAGCTGCTGCTGCGAATTGGAGACCGACGCGGACGTGGACTTGAAGGCGGACTGCTGCTGTTGCTGCTGCTTGAATCCAGGCGGTGGACCCAGCAGCTTATTGGCTGCGACCAGTCCAGCCGCATAGTTGGGCGTCATGGCTTCAGCTGCCGTCGGTTTTAGGGGAAACCTATCCTCAAAGGTGGGCGAGCGTAGCTGGGGAAAGGTGCTCTCGCCCAGTGTGGAAGCCCTGGCGCTGATGGCCTGCGACTGGCTGGTCAGGCTGCTAATCTCCTGCTCCAGGCCAGACAGGCGACGCGCCTGATTGGCCACATAGCCCGTGCGACCATAGGATTGACGACGTTCCGTCGACTCCGATTGAGCCTGAGACTGCACTTGAGACTGTGACTGCAGCTGAACTTGTGATGGCGCTTGGGACTGCGAGTGGGAGCCGGTGCGTATCTCGATGGTCTTCGCGCTCTGGGTGCGCTCGAACTCCTCGGTCACTTTGCGTCTGCGCTCGATCTGGGTGTTGCCTATTTGGGTCTTGGTCTGACTCTGCAGCTGGGACTGCTGCTGCTGCTGCAGCAGCGACGATTGCTCCCGCTGCTGTACGCTGAGATTGCCAATCTTCCGTTCGGTGAGCGTTTCCGGCTGCTGGCTGTAGCTTTGGCTACCTGACTGCGTGCTGAGCTCCGAGTGTGCCAGCAGCTGGCCCTGATAACTCTGGCCGGTCGTTATGGAGCCCGCCTGCAGGCGTGGCCCGGCGGCGACTGGGAGTAGCGTTGAGTCCGGCTCTTTCATGCGTGGCGCCCGTATGGCCGAGAGTGGATTGGGTGGCGGGCCGGGCGCCGGGGAGCGTGCGCGATCCGGAAAAGGTGAGGCAGCGCCCTGATCATAGTCGCGCGCATGCGTCGCTGGGCACTCGTCGAAGCAGAGCTTCTCGGTCGTCTGGTAGAAGGGTATTATCGGTGCCGGCTTGTTGATCATCGACGAGACCGAGGAGGGCGTGTAGGGCCGCGTGGGTGTCAGCGACTGGTCGGGCCGCTCGTACTCATCTAGTGATTGAAAAGCCATAGTTACTGGACCCGAACGATCCTCAATGATGATGGGCACCGACGGCTGCACCATTGGCTTGCCCTGGGAAGCAATTGAGCCACGGGCAGCTGTTGGCGCCGGCCCAGTCGTACCCCCCGTTGAAACCTTGGCAATGGGTCTATGTACAGTCTCGGTGCTGGGCGCTTGTGCCTTGGGTGCATCTACGAAAGCAAGCGGGACATTGTCGCGCAGCTCTTGTGGTTCCGGTGTGCGTATGGGACTCTGAGTGGGCAGCACTGTCCAGTTGCGCTGATATTTGGGTATGGTGTCCGCCTTATGCAGGCCGGACTGTACGGCTTTGCCCTTGAGATGGCTGAGCGGGGACGGTGGCGGGAATAAAACCTCTGAGTGCTCGAGCTCGTCGGCGGTTTCCTCGATTAGCTCGTGGGCATCGAATTTACTATAAGCGGTATTTACAGCTGTCAGGTTGGAGGCGGTTGTGGCTGAAAAGGTGGATCGGCTGCTGGCCTGGACCTGCGCATGGGTCTCTACTTTGGCGACGTAAGCTGATTTGGAGTTGGAGTTGGCGGTGCTGGTGCTGGTGCTGGTGCTGTTGGTGGACTGTTGGACTGTGGAAGAGGAGTTAGAGGAAGCAGTCGCATTGGAAGCGGTAACAAGCGAGTTCGAGTTCGAGTTCGAGTTCAAGTTAGACGAGTTAGTCTCAATGTGTTGTTGCTGTTGTTGATGTTGTTGCTGTTTCAGTTGATGGATCATCTGTGTCTGGTTGTGAGAGTGTTGCTGGCTCTGGAGCTCCTCTTCTTTTTTGTGGTAGTAGTCGAGTCGCTTTTGATTGCGCTGCTGCGCCTTGCAGTACTTTTGGTACTCAAGATCGGTCTGTTCTTTGGACAGGGAGGCAATAGAGGCGCGCGGCGTGTTTGTAACTGTGTTGGGATTGGAGGAGGAAAGCGGTTCGCGAGACGGCTGGAATGCTTGCATTGCCGCAAATGCTGACGATTTGCGCTGCTGCTGCGGCTCCGTTCTGTAGTATTCGACAGACTCTGGCGGCTGCGGCTGGATCCCCAGTTCCTCCTCATGGTCGAGCACCTGAAATTCATATTTTTTTAGTTCCTGCTGCTTCTGCTCCTCGTCAATGCGCTGCGTCGCGTTCTCGGGATTCAGTGGGGTGTAGCCGCGATCGGGCGCCGTGCACAACGCATCGCCCATTGTCAGGTGCTCCTTGGGTGTGGGTAGGTCTATCAAATGGATGGGCACGTCCCGATCGAAGTGTCCCTCGAACGGACGCTCGGGTGCGGTAGTAAGGGCGCTCACAAACGGACTTTTGGGACGGTAATCTTCGCGCAGATAGGGTTTCATGTCCATGGGCGGTGGCATATATGGCACGGTCTCCTCGGGCAGCGGCACACCCTCCGTGGCGGGTGGGGCAAAGCGCACCGGAAATTCGGGCGCCGTTGCCATTGCTTGACTGAACCGAGTGCCGCGTGGTGGAGACTCGCGCAGAATCTCTGAGCCATAGCTGTCCGAGGGAGCAGTCGGTAGGCTAGCGGCAACAGTAGATGGAGCAGGAGGGACGACGACTGCTGTCTGTTCAGCTGCGTCGGCAGCCGCAGCCGCAGCCGCAGCTGCCTCGAAATCATCATCGCAGGGCTTGGGGAACGGACACTCGACCAGATGGAAGGGCACTTCCGGTGCTGTGGTAAGCACTCGAATCATGGGATTGATCCACTCTTTGGGCATGGGATTGGGTATCTTGGAGGGCGCCGGACGTTGGCGCACGGGCGCTATTTCAAAGTTAATCTCTGGCGTTGGCTGAAACATGCGCTCGCTCTCAAGGATCTGGCAGCGGTGATCGATGATCAGGCCCTCCCGATCATCAGCCTGCCCGTCGTCGTCTACCCAGGCTGTCACAGCGGCTGCCTGCTCGGCCTCCGTGGCCGACTCAGGTATCGTCTCCAGCTCTGTGTGCAGCTGGGGCAGCTCCTTGATTTCGGGCTCATCGTTGAACGCTACGTGGCGTCCAGCAGGTGCGGGCGCTGTCGCTGCCGCCGGAACTGGACTGGGCGTCACCTCCCTTACCATATCGATCAGCTTGTAGGTGCTCAGCGGTGCTGAGAGCGAGTCTACGCATTCCTGTGCGCTTCGCCGGCCCGATGCAGACTCCTGCACATCCTGTGCGCTGCCATAGTACAGCTGATAGTCCAGCTCGGAGCCGGAATGCTCGAAGGCCTGCTGCATCTGATAGGCCTGCAGCTGGGCGGCATACATGCGCTGATACTCCTCCGAGGTATTTGTTGTCGTTGTCGATGTCGAGGTGTAGCTGTCCGAGCTCGATTCCTGTTCGAGTTGGGCCTGCTGCACCAGTTGATTGGTCAACTGTGGCGCCGAGTAGCTCTGCCACTGAGGAGCCTGCGCCGGCTGCAACTGCTGCGCCTGTTGAGACTTCTGCTGCACTTGCGGCTGCGGATCGAGTCGCGAGGTAGCACTGCCCGGCGGCAGCGGTGGCACCTCCTGCACAGGATTTGCCACCACCACATGCTGCGTCTCGGGCGGCGCTATGTAAAGCGGCGCAGCTGTTGGCGCCGCGTGGCCCTCGTCCTGTGGCGGTGGCCAGGAGAAGCTTGAGCCGTGGGAGCGTCGACTGGCGGCCAAGGCGACCTCAACGTCCACCTCATAGCATTCCTCCTCAAACTGCGGCTGCAAGCCTTCCTCCTCCAATTCTGAACGAGGGTCGGTTGTGGTCGGGTTTGGGGTAACGCGTTTGTGTGCGGTTTTGCAGATTGTTGGTTAGTTTTGCATGTGGGGCACGGGTCATGGGGCAGGTGGCGGGTGGCAGGTGGCAATGGGCAAATATAAGAGCAGAAAGAAATAAAATTCATACGCTTGTTAGTCGTTGGCACTGTGCAAAGCGGCGGCAGAGGCAAAGCCGAAGGTGAAGGCGTTGGCGTTGGCTGAAGCTCAGGCAGAGGCAGAGGCAGAAGGGAAGTCAAAGGTGGAGATGGTGGCGGTGGCAAAGACGAGATGTCAAAAGGCGGCGCAAACAACAAAACAACAAAACTAAGCGGGCGGAGGGCTAAACTAACTACAAGTGCCAGACCCTGCAACCAGTCACGACAATTTCGCCAAGCTGCTTAACAAGCAGCTGAACAGCTAAGCGGCAACTCCTTACATAATACCAAAACAGTTTAAATGTGTTCCAATTAGTGTTATTTTAAAAACTGAAGGTGTGTGTGTGTGTGTGTTGGACTTTCGAGAAGCGTATATGAAATGGAACTGGCTGAGACTGAGCTAATTTGATCGAGAAATAATATTACGCTAAATATATCAAATATAATAATAGGCTTCACTGGAAACTTTCTATTCCTGTTAATTTTAATTATAGCTAACTAAATTTACTAATTGTCTTAAGACAGAGTGTCAATAAATAAAATGTAATAATAAAAATAACATATATCAAAATTGTATATTCATTCTATTTAGGCTTTTAGCACTTAATTTTGATACTTTGATATATTGAATAATTAATAATTGTCGACGATTTAATAAATAAATAAAACAGTAAGGAGACGTCATGAGCCTGCGTGTGGCTCTAGTTCAAATTAAGTGCAAATTTAAATTTTTATATTTGTTGACGAATAACACATTTATAATAAATTTAAGTGTTTGTTTTTGACCCGGCGATGCCGGTTAATTCTGTCTAGCTACAAATCTTTCATAACTGAGTTAATGCAATCAAAAAAACGCGAAAACAATAATATATATAGTGTAACAATCTGTTGTCGTGTAAAAACATAAACAAAATATCGCTTGCAATATTTTGAGGGCAGAAAAAATATAATAATATAAATGAGAATGCGCGACAGGCGCGGCACGAGTTGACAATATTGCAGTATGTTTTACGCGCCATGTGCGCGGGCAAATAAATTTTTCATTTCTTATTTTCAGGCCATTTTCATGGCGCAACAATAAACACACGCACACGCACGCATCTTGTGTCTGTGTGTGCTAGACAGCAATACGTGCGTGTGTGTGCACAAGTATTTACTTCCATTTTTTATGGGGCCCACGTCTGTGCAGAGCCAAAATGGCGACGACAGGTAGTCATTGGCTTTTATTATGCATAATTTCATATTGCCTGTAATTTTGCAGAAATTGAAAATGGCAGACACACACACACGAACACACACATGTACAATAAAAAAGAGACATAGGATGAGAAAGTCGCGTATATAGCAAATATTTTATCATATCAGAAGAAAATAAACTGTCCACAGCAGACGGACAAAAACAATAACAGAAAGCGAAAAGTTTCGGAAAAGTCGCAATAATAATAATGAGAGGCCAGCCCCAAAGAAAGTTTCTTGGTATATTAAAATACATCAACTTATGTATGTGAAGGCAAAAAGCATGCAAAGTTGTGCAAATTTTGGCGAATTCTCGGGCAGCCCATTCTATTAGTAGAGAGTATAAAATACAGAATAAAGAGTATATTATATAGATACATATTCCTGTATTTGTTGATATGTATTTATCGATTTGTTTAAGAGAGCGGTTAGGCGCAAAGCGTTTAGCGTACATAAATCAATTATGTAGAAAATAATACATATACTAAGTATAATACATATGCATATACAGATACTCATCAATTTTTTTTCTGGGCATGACGCCGCAATTTATTGAGAATTCGTTTAAAATTGAGTATAGGTTTCAGGTTTTCTGTTAATATGAAGTATATAAATAGAGAGTACGATTAAGAAAAAATTTTGTGTTAAGAATTTGGTTGATTTTTTGTTGTAAACAAAATTTCCAAAAAGAATTTCCAAAAATTCACCAGCTTTGCCGAAAACTTTGCCCTTTAGTAATTGTTTAAGTTTTTCTAATAGGAATATTGGTAACCTAAAAGAAGCCAGAAGAAAAACCAGAAATGTTCATCAAAATACAATGTCTTTTTTTTGCTGTTTTTTGTTTTGTTATTGTTAATACAAGCCCGAAAGCATTTTCAGATAAATTTAGAACAATAGTTTCCCACTAGACAAAATGCATACAATAAATCACAAAGCCCAAGACGAAGCAAAGCCCACTCCAACTGCGACTTGAAGGAATTTGAGGCATTTGATGCATGGACGCCCGGCACGCTGCCAGCCGAGAGAGAGAGACAGAAAGAGCAGGAGAGGGAGAGAGAGAGAGAGAGAGCGGAAGAGGTGGACAGACATCAATAGAGCACAAAGCAGGCAACACAGGATGTCAGCCTGTTTGGATAATAATGACTGGTAATTTATCTGCCTTCGTTTACATTGTTGTGCGTCGTGTGTATGTGGGTGTGCGTGCGTGTCGAAATGTGTGTAGCACAAACATTTGTTTGCCAGCACATTTTTTTTGCAGCCCTGCCGCCCATCTCCTATTTGTGGCATTTGCTAACTGGATTTGTTTTTATGTGTGTTTCGACGGCTTTTGGCAGCTGCGGCTGGCGGCATGCCGCCAAACCAAGCAAAAACAAGCCAAAGACCAAAGCCCTTAAAGCCGCCCTGTGGGGGTATGCCCCCTCCCACCATCGCTGCTCCCGCAGAAAACAAACTCAAATAATGGCTGCGGTTGTGCGTGATTCTCGCTATGATTGGGAGATTGATTTTGATTTCTGACGCACGAACTTTTGGCCTCAAAGGTGGAATTCAGCACTTGCTTTGATTAATGCGGGCGGTGCTGAGCGGCGGGGGGAAATGGGGCGTGGGAAGCTGGTTGCTTCTTTTGGCATGTAATAATTGCATTTTTAATTGCATGAAGACGAAGAAAAAATTGGCTCATAAATTGCATTGTTACCATTACGATTGTTGTTGTTGCAACTGCTGTGCGCCATATTTGCTGTTAATTCATTTCCGTTATGACAGCCAACAACAATACAGACGCGTAATTGATATACAAACACACACACACACACACACACGCACATATACCAACATATATGTATTGACTTTGCATGCAAACACACTTCCATATGTATGTATATAAAGAAAAATGGTTAAAATTGGTGTGAAGCCAACGCGAACGACGGCGTAAAAGAAGCAGAACCGCGGGCACAGTGAGCGCCAAAATTAGCGGTACACACCAATTGTCAACTCATTAAATTAAGTTAACAATTCTTGAAAAAAGTGTAATTGATTTTAGAAAAACCTATGCAAATAGAAATTATACCGAATTTCAGCTAAATATTTTTAAATAGAGTATAAATCGTACTTTACAGGCACGCTTTATACAAAGAGAAGAAATTGATCGCATCAAGCCAAGAGTTCTTGAAAAAAGTGTAATTTTAGATTAGCTAATCTCAGAAACAGCATTAAACTTCTTGAATTAAATTTAATTCATGCTGAAATTCCGCTTAACTCTAAACGCGCTTTGAATAAGTGAACAAATTCTTGAATCAAGTAAATAGAGATGACTTTTAGTAATATTTGAACTAAGCTTTTTTTAATCAAGAAAACTCGAAGTTGATTAATGGCGACTGTGCGCTGACTGCTTACAGTCAGTGTCTTTTGATATGCTGCGCATACCCTGCACATATTTGCCATGCATTTAAAGTTTTGTATGTGCAGAGATGGAGAGAATCGGGGGGCGACCGCAGATATTGCAACGTTGCAATGCCGAACCGAAATACATTTTATATCATTTATATTACTGTGTGTGTGTGTGTGTGTGTGTGTGTGTGAGTGTGTGTGTACAGGAATTGTTTCGTTTTGCAGCATTACGTATACGTAACGAACGTTTGGGTTTCGGTTTGGGTTTGGCTTTCAGTGCCATGAAATGTGCCGGAAGCGGGCAACATTCACTGCCAACAGCAACTGCAACTGCAATTGCATTGGCATTGAAAATGTTAACACACACACACACGCACTCACACATGGAACATACCCCATCCCGTGCAGGCGTCATTGTTGTCCGTTTTAATTTCCCGTCTGGCCGTATTATAACTTATTTACTTGAAATGCTTTTACCTATCAGCAATTGGTTCTGTCAACGTGCATGTTGCATGTATTATTTTCTTCTACGTGTGATTAACTCTCTCAAATTGCTTTCTACGATCAGCTACAGCCAGTTGCATGTGAATTTTCGTGTGTGTATGGCATGTGTCAAACAACTCAAGTAACTCAACAGCAACAAAAATAGGTTAACGAACAAAAACTACGCGTTGCAAGTGCCAAGAGGCTGCTGCTGCTGCTGCAGGCTGTTGCTGCTGTTGTTGCACGAGCAACAATTGCTGTTTACCTCGATTGTAATTATTGTTATAGATGTGTTTGTTGTTGTTGTTGTTGTAGGACTGGGTCTGAGTGTTATAGTTAGGCAGGGTGGCATATTTATTGCTCGATCCAATTGGGTATGAGTTTCTATATTGTTGCTTTTGTTGCTGTTGCTGCTGGTGTTGATGGTGTTGGTATTGATGTTGTTGTTGCTGTTGTTGTTGTTGTCTGTTGACACTATTGTACCTTTGCACAGTACGACCTATACATAGACACATACATATAAATATATACACAAACTCAAGACTCTTGCAACGATTTTGGGGTAGACGAAAAAAGTAAAAATTAAATAGAAAACATTTTTGGGTCGATTTCGTTTTTGCACTTTTGCCAAATTGTTTCTTTGCATTTCGATTAGTTTCGATTATTTAAGCAGGCGAGGGAAGGTTTGTTTGTTTGTATGTTAGTTGGTCGCTTCATTTGGTTTTCGAGTTAAATTTATTTGCATTAAAAAACTTTTGATATATCATGTGTTTAACTTAACAACAGATCAATTTATACATTTAATACTAGAGCTGCCAGTGGATCCCCGCTCTAAACAAAAACAAAAAGAAAAACTAAACAAAACAAGCAGCTAAAACTCGCAGAATAAATATTATATATAAAGAGTTTATAGATTGTATATCACACGCCCACACTTAATAGTTTTATGAGTGTTTTTTCTTCTTCTATCTGTTTCTGTATCTGTAACTGTAACTGTAACAAGACTAAACCCATTCACCTTCTGACTGAGACAGTGTCTCGTACTCATCGTCAGCTGTCATCGTCTTACCTTGTTGACCAACATTGGAGCGCGGCAAGGTGGCATAGGGATTGCCAGCGGGGCGTGGCGATTGCTGCTGCTGCTGCGGTGGGTACGAGGATACCGGCACCGGCGACTTGGGCGCTGCCGCTGGCGGCTGAGAGGCGCCGTAGGGGCGCGCATATCCCTGGTTGACCTGGCAGAGAGAGAGAGAGAGAGAGAGACAGGGAAATGATGAGATTTGAGGATTTAATATGTATTAACTCGAGTGCAGGCATTGTTAACAAAGAACATTAAACAGTTTGTATTAGAGAGGAGCTGGCTAGGGGCTAGCTGCGAGCTGGGGCAAGGGCGAGCGCGGTCGCGGGCGCCTACTTACCCGATAACTGGCGCCGGCGCCCTTACCAGGCGGCTGCACGCTGCGTATCACATTTCCGGTCAAGGTGACATACTCGAACGGCTGATCCGAGCCGTTCGCGGATGTCTGCATGCACGGACCTGTGCACGCAGCGGAGTCGCCCATGTTGTTGTTGTTAATGTTGTTGTTGTTGTAGCTGCTGTAAATGGCTGCCGATTGCTCATCCGCCACGTGGGCGGACATTATTTCAGACTGCGCTGGATTACTGTTAGCTGTAGGTGCTGCTGCTGCTGCAGTTGTTGTTGCCTGATGTGAATTAAATTTCAATTGATTAGCTAGTGTTGCCGTCAGCGCGGCGACATGTGGCTGCAGTTGCCCAGTTGTTGCTGTTGCTGTTGTTGTTGTGCCTGCGAATGGCTTGGCCGTGTTGTTGTGTCTGTTTGTTGTTGTTTCTGTTGCTGTTGCTGTTGTGTTTGTGTTGTTGCTGTTTGGGTGTTGCTGCTGCAGCTTATTGGCATACTGCTTCAGCAGCTGATTATACGCATTATGGCTCTTATTCTGCGTATTCATGTCATTCTCATTCTGTGTGGACCTCAGCGGTGTGAGTGCGGGCGCTGGTGGCGGCGGCGGCGGTGGCGATGGCATTGACATTGTATAATTATCAACGGGACACTGCACAACACTGCCCACATCCAGCGACGTGCAGGAGCCAGAGGCTTGGCGCGAATGCTGCGGCGAGTGCTCCATGTCCAGGGACAGCGTCGAGGCGCTGGATGCCACCAGGCTGGGGCTCAACTGAGCACAGCCGCCCACACCCGACGAGGATGTTTGCGAGGAGCCGCTCGAAATTGATGAGAGGCTGCGTGTGTGTTTGCTGGCCTGTTGCTGCTGCTGCTGCTGCTGTGGATCTGGGTTTGGGTGTGGCTGGGCGGCAAGTGGGTTGGCTGAGCCTTGTGTCGGGTGCTGATGTTGTTGGTTTTGGGGCAACAGCAGCAGCTCCTCGGCTTCGTATTGCAACAGCTGTGTGGGAGAGGGTGGCGGCGGCAGGGGCAGCTCGCTGCTGCTGCTGATGCTGCAGTCAGGCTCTGGCATTGGCTCGGACTAATGTGTTAATACGAGCGCGTGTTAATGGGCGGGGCAGGCAGGCAGGCGGGCGGGCGGACGTCACGCACATGAGCAACAGCGGTTAGCGGGTGGGAGGCATGTAAATTGATGCACAGTTAATAAAGGCAGTTAATTAAAATGCAGAGCGAAATTTCTGAGAGGCTTTAAACTATGTGTGTGTGTATGTAAAAGTGATTGTGTTTAAAATAGTGTGTGTTTAAAAGTGTGTGTGTTTGGCTGCATGTCAACGTGGCGTATGAGCAATGTGTGCACTAAAAATAACTAATAGGTCAAGGTCAATTGTCTGGCTAAAGCTAGCTCCTGTAATGTGTCAAGATTGTGTGTGTTAAATAATCCAAAGCGTATTCCAATAAAGAATAAAAAATATAGTTTTCACACATTATGCAACACTCAAGAAGCAGCAACTACTTCTGTTGCGAATTTCCAATGGAAAAAGAAAACTCTCTTTACTTTGCACTCGAATTAAATGATGAACTATTCGGAAAAAGATACTACGCGTTGAGTTTTCGTTCGCTCCCTTTTTGTATTTTATGTATTTTTTAAGCACTTAAATATTCGTTTTGGCGATTTTGAACACTGCACTCTGCAGCATGCGAGCTGCCTGCGTGCCGCGGACACGAGTCGAAGAGGCAAACTGAACGCAAATTCGGCCAAGAAGATGAGCTGTGGCTGCCGCAGCTGCGGTTCTGTGCAGCTGTGTGGGGTTTTTTATAGCCCTAGCATAAACACAAAAAGCCACAAAAATAAAATTGTAATTGAAATAAGTAAAAAAATGTGCAACGCTCGGCACAAGGTATAAATTTAGCACTTAGCCATTCGACCATTCGACAATTCGACTATTTGGCCATTTAGCAGGCATTGCACATTTCGCAGAAATGCGCTGGCCGTAGCCAAAAAACTGCGAGAACTTTGGCTGCGCTTCCAATTGCCAGTTGCCATTTGCCAGTTGTTTGTAGCCAATTGTGATGCATACTCGAATATCTGAGCCGAATCCACACGCCTGCTCAAGATTACTGAATATCGCAACTAGTTGACTTTCTATTTATAAAAAAAAAGTCGAGACTTGCGGGCGATGCGCATCGCATCGTATCGCATCGCAGTCCTAATTTCAATTGACAATTTTTGTGCCACATTGCGTGGTACCTGTTGCTACACTCGGCGAAAAATTTGTCAATTAAATTCTAGCATAAATTAATGTCAATTCATTTGCATATTCTAAATAATCAACTAATATGATAAATGAAGTAGAAAAAGTCTTTACAATGAGCGTAAAATAGTTAATAGAAACTTCTGAAATAAACTTTTGCATTTGACTTCAGTATTAAATCAGTTCTTGAAACAAAAATAATGTTTTAAGTGTGAAAAAATTTTGCTAGTATCTCGATCTTTATACCGAATTCGTACAGTTATTTCTTGGAATGTATTGCAAGCTAGTCCATCAGCTGGTAGTCGAATATACCCTATATATAATTTACCCTAGCTAAAGCTTAAGCTTCTCTACGGTAGCTTTCATAAGATTAATCCGTCGCACACAGCCCAATTACATACTGAATCAAAAGCAGGTTAGAAACATACAATTAAAAAGAGCTCTCGATGGGAAAGAGTAAACATAATAAACATAATAATAATTGCATGCAGGCAAGAAACAAACGAATTAGCAGGCTTACACACACGCACGCACACACACACACGCACACAGACACAGGCCGACTCACTTCTGCTCAAGTGAAAACTCAAGCATAACACACAAATGCATAAACTTTTCCATTTTGTCGTTTTTATCGCTTTTGCCAGAATAAGAAAAGTAAACAAAAACAAAGGCTAGAAGTAGAAGTAGTTGTGGAAGAAGAAGAAGAGGGGGCTGAAGAGGGGCGCGGGAGGGGGCCAACGTCTTTGGTAAAATTGCATGAAAATGCTTGAAAGTCGATTTTCTTCTCGCTCGATTTTTCTTTACGCTCGCCTTGAAACTTTCTGCATTGCATTGCATTTTTCTTTCTGGCCAAATGATTTTTAACATTTTAGCATATGGATGTCTGCCGCAAGCGAAAATTTATGCAAACATTTTGCCAGCAATATGATAAAATTGATTGTAAAAACAAGATGAAGCCGAGCAGCCAGCAGACGATGGATAAAAAAAAAACAAGCAGCAGTAGAAAAATAAGAACAAGCGAGCTTCAGGTGCGTCTTTGGGGTCACAAAACTTTTTTTCCCGTCGCCCCATTTTTTACTTGGCTCAAGCCATTTACTTTATGCATTTGTGTGTGTGCGAGTGTGTGTGTGTGGGTGTGTGTGTGTGTGTGAGTGTCTGACAAGATTGTTTTTACCACGCTGGGGCACAACACACACGGAGAGAACAGTTAACAAGTTTAGCATGACTTTTACTTACCGGTGCCGGTGTAGGCGTGGCATTGCCATTCGAGTAGCCATTGCTGCCATAGCCGTGGGAGCTCAAGGCCGAGGAGATGGTATTGGCGCTCAGCTTGGTGTTCCTGCGGCAGAGAATATGACATGATTAACACGAAATAATTGTCATGCAATGCGCTCCAATTGGCTGCACTACCCCTCTCTAATTGACACCCCCCCTCCCCCCGTCACTCAGGAGAGTGACCCGCATGAGTCCTTTAATTAAGTGCGATTTGCCATTTGGCCAAAATTCAAATAAATCCCAAGCCCCCAATTGACATGCACGAACGTTTGTCAGCCTAACGAATATAACATATATATATTTGTGTTTTTTTTCGTTGACTAGCCCCACACCTCTGACAGCTACGCTCCCACCCCCTCTCCCCCTCCCTTCGCTACACGCCACCAGCAGTTTGGCTGCAATTGCATTTAATAAAAATTTGCTGCTGCTGAAAACGTCAGCGAAAATCAGTTGTCAAAGTTTTCATGTCCACAGCAGATGCAAAAAGTGCCATTCAATTGGCAACTGTATGGACAAAGGGGGCTGGGGGCTTAGGGGGGGGAGGGGTTGGACTGCTGCATTCAGGGTTTCCAAGCAAACAATGCCGCGATATCCGTTCGGCTGCCCCATCGAAATGTCAAACGTGTTTTGGCATACGCAAAAATATGCATATATTTATATTGCATAAATTCATATTCATATTTACATTCGCATTCACATTTATATTCATATATTTTTTTTTTTATATTCATTTGATCGACCCGACCAATTGTACAGCAGACAAGAGTAAATACAAAAATAAATAAAGAAGAACACAAAGTCGGACCAAAAGTCTAACACTTGTTACTTTGATTCTTAATTTCTTGCTAACCCCAGGTTGAGCTGCATTTACAGAGTATTTTGACTGGGTATTCGGGGTTCTTTGATGCTCTACATTTACAGGGTATTTTGAGAAAGTATTTAGCGTGTACTTACGGCTTAATGGGCACTGGCACATAGCCCTCGGTGCCGGCTGGTGGATGCTGCTGGGCAGCCAGCTTGGCATGGATGTCGCAATAGAGCTTGTTGTTGAAGTTGTAGTAGCCCTGGTTCTTCAGAGAGGTGCCACAAGTGGCGCACTTGAAGCACTCAACGTGCAGATTCTTGTCCTTGATGCGCACAAACACGCCGCTAAATGGGGCAGAGAAAATATATTGTAAGCTTATAGTTAACAAATCCATCCTGAAAATCTATCCGGAAATCGATAAACGATTTTCAGAGCTTTGTGTATGTTATCGATAATTAGACAAAATGAATGTGGCATAATCCCGTTAGTAAATGGAAACTTGGTTAGAAATTAAAATGTAGTTTGCATATTCCAATTAGAGGATGCTGTCTTTTGGTAAGCAATAAATATTTATATTAAAGCTTATGGAAAACTCGATAAGCGATTGACCGATTTGTAAATGTTGTAAGAGGATGCCAGATATTAGTCCACAATGAATGAAAATTAATTGAACAATTGTCCGCTTTGACTATGTTCAATATGAAGATAACGTATGGAAACGTATTTAGCGTATTCACATTAGTAGATGGCTTAAAGCACGCAACTGTTAGTCAGCAAAAGGTAAGGTAAAAAAAATTTAAAATGGTAATAAAGTAAAATAAAATATGTTAAATCTACATAATGAATTATCGAATTAAGCTCATGAGTCGTCAATGGCAGCCAATTAAATTGGCATACAAATTAATACAAATGATGATGATATTCCCATGAGCTGGAGCTCAGTGCCGCAGTCGCAGGTGTTGGAGGCGTCTGCATAATAATCATGTGTACTGCATAAATTTCAACAATTGACTTCGAAATAAAAGCAAATTAAAATGCGTGCGCAGACACACGAGACACACACACACACGCGCACACACACACATTGAGAGACACAGAGGCATGAATTATCATTGAACATGGAACACAAATCCTTACACAATGCCCACGCCGCACAATTGACATGCCGGATGTCCGCTGGCGGACAAAGGACGCACACCACCAGCATCGCTGGCCAATGCCGCTGCAGCCGCATCCATATCCGCCTTGTAGTCGGGCCCCTGCAGCGCCGGGCATATGGGCATAACAATGATGCGCGGATCGGCCTGCTCCTGCTGCTGCAGCTGCTCCTCTTCGGCCTGATGGGGCTTCGCAACCGGCAGACTGGGCCTGTGCGTGGCCGCCGGCGCCAGCGTATTTTGCTGTAAATTGGTGCCGATGCGCTCATCCTGGCGTCCTGCCTGCGACTGCGACTGCGCCTGCATTTGGCTGTGGGGCAGCGGCGTGCGTCGCTCGTTGCCGCCAATCGCGTGGCTCTGCGTCCAGTAGAAGTTGGCTGGGCTGTGCGGCTCTGTAGCGGAATTATCGCCATGTGGTTGACAGCACAAAAGTTCAATCAGTTCACAAAGCCTTTGACAAGTTAGTTGCAAGTAATATTTATATGTGTGTGTGTGCGTGTAGGACGCCCTCAGGATAACACTAGTACTGCCCCAGGACACCCTAGACCTGTTAAAACCTAAACTAGAAAAGCTCGCACTCAACTCAGCTATACTTTAAATAACGTGAAATTAGTTACCTATGAGTTGCAGGCAATGTTAATTAGAGACCTGTCTTGATATGTTATTGTGTTAATGTTGCTTCTAAAGTGACATACACAAAGAAGAACACGCACTCAGCTCAGCAACACTTAAAATTACATTAAGTTATTCAACAAAGAGTTGCAGGCTATGTTTATGTTAATTAGAGCGCTAATGTTAATGAGAGTGTAATGTTAATGTTAATGTTAATGTTCTTGTTGTTACACAAATGCACTTTAGTTTTTGGTTTGGTTTTGTGGCCCACTTACGTAATGAGACGTTCGCATTCGGTGCAAATGTTTTGCCCAGTTGGCAGTCCGCCGGTGCTCGGGGGCTTTGGTGAATTGACGGGGGCGTTAACGTGCCGGGTGGCGTTTGATTGTTGTTGTTGTTGTGGATAGTGTTGGTGTTGATGTTGTTGTTGTTGTTGGTATTGCTGCTGCTGTTGTTGATGATGTTGCTGCTGATGCTGTGGTGCATCATGCTCATAGTTGTTGTTGTTATTGTTGAATGCTGTTAACAGTGTTTGATGAGCAGCCATTTTGTATTGGTTGTTGGTTTTTGGTTGTATGTGTGCGTGTATGAAAAAGAGTCGAAATACAAACATGAGTTAGACATAGACCGAAAAAGGTATTGTATGCAAGCCCTAACACACAATTGAATATTCAATTTAAAGAGATTTTTCCAAATTGTTAGCCACTTTGCAGTTCCATGTGCAGTTGCTGAAGAACTATTTATAATACTATACCTACAAACTAAATATATGTTTTTTAATCTTTATGGCATAATTATGGAAGAAGTTGGGGAAGAGAGTGGAAAAGAGATGTATTTGTTTGGTAAATGTTGTGTGGGCTGCTTTAGAAATTCGATTTGACATAGAGAAAACGAAAATCCATTTCTTTATCTAAGCACATAAAACAAAGACAATACAGAAAATAAAACAAAGCATAAATATTAAATACAAGTAAATACAAAATAAAACCAACCAAAAACGCTCACGGCTGACTAATAAAATATTTCTATGCCCTACAGTGATAGTTCTCTAAGATAAACTCAGTTCAAGGTCTCTGCTGTGTGTTTTAAAAAATGAAAACGCTGCTGTAATCTGGCTGCCTACTTATAAGTGTATTTGTAAACCAAGAGAGGGAGAGAGAGAGAGACAATGTGCTCAGCTGGCAGCCTGCCCTACTGAGTACATGGCGGATGCGTAATATTACACTTAAAGACCCTAACACAAGTTCGCCCAAATTAATCGGCGAGAGTGTCGCTCACAAACGGATTGGCGCCCTCGTTTAGTAGCAGGAGCAAACGAGCCAGTTCATAGTTGGCTGCATTACCTGGAGTTGATCCACCTGTTTCCTCCTCGCGCAGGAACTTCAGCACCTCCGAGCGATCGGCCTGGTATTCCTTTTCGTTCTTCTTAAAGTTGACACTAAAAAAAAAGAGAGGGCGGGAATGAGAGAGTAGTTAACACACTTTTCCATTGCATACTTTCGGCTGCAAGCGCACAAAGCGCGCGGCGCGCAAAAGTATGCTGTGATAAATGAGTGCGGCCAACATTGTTGCGCATACGCTGCGTTGGCCACCGCAAAGGCCGCTCAAAATAAAATAAAAATACCAAGAAAAAAACAAAACAAAAAAGATCCCCTAAAGAAATTAAGTGCAAAAAGCTTGCAAGTCCCACGCGTACATTTGTTGTAAAAAGAGCCCCAACTCGACAACTGGCAAAACAGTGAAAACACTTTTGGCCAACAGCCCGACTCTGGAAGGGGCGTGGCGGGACTGGGGCTATCATTTGGCGGCATTGCACACAGTTTTAGCCGCTTAGGCGCAGTATCTGGCGCAGCAGCAATAAAAAGAAGCCAGAAGACCAGCGCGAAAATAAGCAAAACAAATTTTAAAGTAAAAGTTTTGTGGCATTCGCCTGTCACGGCACTTGCGGCCCACCATTCCAGACAGTTGTTCCTATACTCTGTTTACAAAATTAAGAAAAACAAAAATGTAGTATATAGTGCAAGATTATGTTAAGCCTTTGCGGCCCAAGCCTACTTGATGCGGTGGAAATTATGTCTAAATTCTTCTACTGACTTCAATTGAACAGTTTTACAGTCATTGCTGCTTACGGTCTGCGAGTCACCAATGGGACTCTTTTCGTCTGGTTTAATCATTAATTGAATAGAGTATTGCCTAGTTGGCCACACCTCCTAGCTACTCATGTTTTTTTTTTGGCTGTTGCTCTTTTCTTTTTCATATATTTAGTTGTTTTCTTTTTTTTCACTTAAGGAGGGCCCACTGTTGAATAACTTACCCGAGCACACCGCCAGCCAAAACCTCCGCCTGGGCGGAGAGTGTTTCCGCAATAGATTCATCGCTGTAAATGCCAACCGGGGTGTTGTATTGTTTATTGACGATGCTCTTCACGCCGCCATCGCCGCCACCGTTGGCCTATTCCAAGTTGAAGTAAACACAAACACAAATATAAATATAAAAGATGAAAATGTGTGAATGAATAATGGAAAATCAATTTCTGTTTCGGTTTCTGTTTCAGTTTTGGTTGCTGTTGCTGTTGCTATTTACGGGTGCTCACTGTGCTGTCACACAAAATTATAATAATACAAATTCATAACAATAAAATGTACGCAAATGTATGCATATCACACACACACACACTCAGAATGAGAGTCATTGATATTATTATGCATGGCACATGTATGTGTGTGTGGGTGTATGGGTGGGTGTGTGTGTGTGGGTGTGTGAATGTGAGCCCTTTGCACATTAATTCTTGCCAGCAAATAATCCTAGCACTCATATTCATTACTCATTCTGACACTTTTCAAAACTACGCACAAACAGTCTGACAGACAGGGGGACGGAGAGACAGACATATAAATGCAAATGTTGTCAACCCATATAAAACAGACAAGTTCCGACTCCACCCGAAAATAAAATGAATGAATATGAAAACCCACAGAGCACAACAATGAGATACACACACACACAAGCACACGCACAGGGATTGTGACAGCAGCTCTTTCCCAGGAGACTAACTATCAACATCATTGGTCATCAGCACGTCACTTGTAATTGTCTGTGTGTGTGTGTGTGTGTGTGTGTGTGTGTGTATGTATGTGTGGGCGCATTTAAGCTAACGCTAAATATAAGGACTGAGCATGGGACTTATTATCGAGCTACAGCTCGACACGAGCACAAAACATGCACTTGCAAAATAGTTCAAGTTAATTTTTTTTAGGAGTTTTTTATAAACTACATTTATATAGATTTTTGCGACAGACAAACTCTAGACTTTCTTGTCTAGACATTTTTTTTAACAACTCCATCTCTCTTGGTAGAAATTTTATTAACAGGTATATGGAAATGTTGCTGCTTTGTTCAAATATTGGCCAAGATTTGCTCTAACTTTATCTGAGGCCTGAATCCCCTCGTGGCTATTTCGTGCCAAAAGCACGAACTCGTCCATCTCTAACAGCTGCGTCAAAGGTCTAATTCCCAACCCGCTACAACCTACAAACCTGCAACATTTTAAGTTTTGGCCAACACGTTGAGAGTTTATAAATTTTATAAATGATGCCTTTTGCCCACAAATGTATGCTACACATTTTGCCAGCTCTCTCTCTCTTCCTTTCTCCCTCTGTGTGTGCGTGTATGATTTCAAATTAGTTGACTTACAAATGGACGCGCCGAGTTGTTGTAGCCACAACCAATGTGCTGGCTGTCCGGTTGATGATGAGCCAGAGAAGTTTTCGTCACTGTCTGCAAATAGGGCGAATTGGCCTGGGGCAGGTTGCCGGTGGGCGTCACATGTGGGCGCCAGGTGGAGCCGCCGCTGTATGTCAGGTTAGAGGGATAATAGAGTTGACATTGGCAACACTTTGCTGGCACTGAACACTTACCGCTGCACTGTGATGACAAAATTGTTGCCCGAGCGCACCACAATGTCCTGGGCATCCTTGTGACGAAAATTGAAGACATCAACGTCGTTGATCTTGATGACTGCGTCGCCCGGCTGCAGGCCAGCCTGCTCCGAAAGGCTGCCCGAGTTGACCTGCAAAGGGGCAAGAGCAGAAATGAATAGAAAATAAGTCACAGTTGCTCACTAACAATCAATCAGTCAGTCAATCAATCAATCAATCACTCAGTTGTTGTCTCAAATCAAAAGTTGTCATCAGCAGCTCGAGTGCAATTCAATTGCTACCTCGCGCATAAATCAATCCAAAGGCGAGCCATAAAAAACGTCTAACGAAATGCAGCCGGAGCCAAAAGTAAATGAATTTATTTTGTACTGCCCGCTGGAATTATGAAGCGCCGGCCGAAAACGCCAGTTCCGTTGTGGCCACGCAAGCTGTGTTCCCATTTTCCCTTTTCAGATTTTCCCCAGCAACAACAGCAACAACAAGTTTAGTTTATAGGCGTTGTTTTTGCGCCTGGTTTTCATTTATTTATTTGCCGCCGCGTCTGCTGGGAAATTGTGCGCACCAAAAGCCATAAATTTACCGACGATTAAAATCGCAAAAGTTCCACACAACAGACGCTGCAATTCGTGGCCATTTCTCATGTATGCGCATAGACAGAGAGGCAGGGAGAGGGGCAGGCGCAGCAACTAGGCGCAGGGCTTGTACTAAGCAAACAAAACAAAACTGCCACGCCTTAAATTCCACTACTTCGGCTTAATTAAAGCTGCTTCGCTTTAATCAAGCTTAAAACAAACCTCAAACATGCGGCGCAGGCTAAATTGCGGCTCCTGTTGCACTTGGCTTAGGTCTACGCTCGTGTCTTATGCCGCATGCCACATACCGCACTATACCCCACTCTGAGCCTGCCACGTGGCTAGGCTCAGGTGTACGGCCGAAAATTATGCGCGCCCTGCACGTATCCACTTTGGCAAATTGTCTGTTTATCCGACTACCAGCCCCGGCAGCCCAGTCAGTCGACTCTCAGCTCTCAACTCTCGACTGTCGAATGCGGCCGGTTTATATTTACACAAAAAGCAGCACACACAACCACATAGACACACACACACGCGTGTGTGGTTGACTGCATAAATATTTCATTGGCATGTTCGCCAAGCGAGACACCTAAATTTTGTAATATTTACAAAGTTGCTAAAAATGTGGCGCCCCAACAAACCAATGCCAAAACCTGAAGCACAACCCGAACCCAACCTCAAGCCCCAACCGAAACTCCAACCCAAAACCTCAACCAAAACCAGAGCCAGAGCCAACCGAGCGGGCAAACGACAGGCCCCAAAAATTCAAGCAAAATCGCGCGTTGCTCTCAATTTTTGCTGTTGACATGTTCATTTTCTTGTCGAAAATTGAAAATTGGTCGGACGCTGAGGTGTTTTGCAGTCAGCGACAAATAAGACAGAGACAGCAACAACGAGACATGGATGGAAAGAGAGAGAGAGAGAAAGAGAGACAGGTAGAGAGGGTAGGAGGGGGAATCAAAGTATGCGCTGCCTCGCATTTTGTTTTTATTGGCTTGACACAAGTTCTACCCCTTTCAAATGGAGCGTACTGCGCATACTGGACTGCTTGAACCAACATTTCACAAATATGAAACCTTAAAAAGAAAAAGCGTTGGTTCAAATCATTTATATATATTGAAAAGTTTCGTTGAAATATTATTGGTGCAAAACAACTCTATCAAAACAACAAAAAAACTCTATCTGTGACTGATTGACTGCCTGCCCAAGCAAAAGCTAGGAAGTCAAAGCTGTTGTTGACGCTTCTTTTCGAATCGTAAGTAGATGGGGCTTCGGAAAATTCAATTATTTTTTTATTTATATCTTTTGTTGTATATCTCTATGTCTATAGAATATTATCAATGTTTTATAGGGTATACAAGTGCGTGGAAGCTCTATCTGTGTCCGAAGTTTTTTTCTGTTCGCCAGCAAATTGCATGTCACAAAAGTGCGCTTGGATTTGGATTGAGTGTGACTGTGTCTGTGTGTGTGTGTGTTTTGTGTGGCTTTGGAATATTGACATTTGCACAGTTTTATGAGTACCTGCGATCAACATGCGCCCCGCCCAAAAATGTTTGCTCGGCTGTCTGGTCGGCTGTTTCTATGGCTCTCTCTGGCTGGGTTACTGTGTCTGTTTTGTGGTTTGGTGGTGCGCTTGTTAGACATTTGTCAGCTTTATAGCATTTGTGGCCAGCCGCCAATTGACAAGGCATTTGTTTTCCCATGACTTATGAGTGTGTTGGCGGTCGGCGATGGCGAGGTTAGGGCAGGCCAAGTGAATTACCATAAAACTTGGCCCCAACATGTCGAGCATTAATATCAGTTGTGTCCCAGCTCTTGTGCTCCAGTTCCCACAGTCCCCAGGCCTGGACGACCTGCTGCCATTTGGAGGCCAGCCAGGACACATTATGCGCCCCTCTGAGCGCATTACATGTGTAGCCACGTTTGGGCAAATGATGATTTATACGGGCCAGGACAGGCAGCTCGGCAGCCAGGCAGACCGGGTCCCGTGGACCTACCCCCAGGCTGTCAGGCGTTGTCCAGCCGCACCTCCTGCTTCCGCTTCAGCTGCTGATAAGTATAAAACACACTCGGCCGACATTTTCATTTTCATTTAGCAGCAAATGCTGTGAAAATATTTTAACTGCATTATTTTAGCATTTGTCGTGGCATGTATTTAGCATTTGGCTGTGCAGAGCACTTGGAATTATAAATATGCACAGCGCCCAACCCAGCTCAGCTCAGATCGTGTCCTGGGGCTCCGAGCATTTCCATTACTGCTGTCACAGCAAATTTCTAGAATTTAAAGTGCTTCAAGACAATAGACAGCCCTGTAAATGCAAATAACAAATTAAATTTAATGGCCGGACAGCAAAATGCTCGTAATCAAGTCAACTAATCCGTTCAAGTGCATTCAAATTGAGATTCATTTAGCACGACTGCCAGATGCTCTGCTCGGCTGTGCAGCAATCCAACCGAATGGTCATACTAGCTGCCAAGCCACGCCCACTTTTGTCAATTACATACACTTGCATAAGCCGAACATATCCTTTAACACTCACTTCAGTTGCTTGACAAGGTGGAAGACGAGAAGCAGCACATTTTGCTGCCTGAAAACCACACACACACGCACACACACATAAATACACAGTGTGTGTGTGTGTGTGCAGCATGCAAAATATTTATGTTGATAAATCAAGTTTGCTTTTGTGGATTAGGTGTATCTAAAATAAATTGAATTTGTGGCGTAAATTAAGGCCAAACAAAAGGCAAGGCACAAGACTTGCCAAGTTATGAAGTTGTTTAATTGAAAATAAATCAGTTTAAAGGCAACACGACGAACATGCACAAACTCCATTTGCCAGGCGAGCATAGTTTTTGGCCAAACGCTTGCATTGTTTATCTTTACTCTCCTACCCCATTTACCGCCTTTTGCGACCCCTCTTCTGCCGTCTGTGTGCCATAAAAAACAGAACCCGGAATGCTCGTAAGTAGAACGAGCTACGCTGAAGAGCTGCGCCCGAGATAAAATGCTTGGGATACGAAATACTGCGGAAATGCAGCGCAAATACAATGAATCTCAATGTATATGAATATGCATGGCCATCACTCATACGCCCCTTTCTCTCCCTGCCCACTTCCCACTACCCACATCCCGTTCAGTCTCTTGTTGCCAGCTCTAAATCACCCAAAGCCGCTGCGGTTGGTTTTCCGTCACAACAGCAAATGTTGGCCGCAGCACTTGACCAATCTGGCAGCAAAAAAAAAGAAAAATAAATACAAAAAAAATCATTGCACTTGCAAACTTGGCAAATGAAGAGGACTCAGCCGCGATCCGCTCCGTAGACCACGCCCTTTGCGACCCCAAGGGTCCATAATAAAATTGCGCTGACCAAGCAAAACAATCAAATTCAGCGAGCTGTTAATGCGGCAAAGTAAATACAATGTTGGCAACTCCTTCGGGCCGTGCTCCATATCAGCTGCAGCTTAACCAGCTCTTTTAACTAGTTCATTTCAGAGGCGTCTCCAGATACGAAGGAGAGAGCTGGGGGAGGGGGGGGGGGGGCGTTGTTAACGCGCAACACTCGAAGAGTATTCATATTCAATAATCACAGACGGTACTCTCGCATTTCGCCTTGGCCTGGCTGCATGCCATCCAATTGCCAACATTTTGGACACGTTTTTTCTTCGCTGGCCGAGCAGGACTCAACAGCTGACCCGAAAGTTCCAAGCGTCACAGGAATTATTTATTTATTGGCCAAAAAAAAGGGGGAGCACTCAGCAGCAACAGCAATCGTTGTAGCAGCAACCATTAAGCGGAACAGGCGCCCAAAGTTCAATTCTGGCTGCTTTGACATAGCTACAACAACAACTGCAACTGCAACTGCTACAAAAACCACAACAACAACAAGAGGAACAACAACAACATTGTGGAGCACGCAAACTGTCAGCAACATTTATAAATTATGATTGCAATCAACGTGCCACAAAGCGCTCGCAGGGCGAGCGGACAAGTTGCCAGTTGCTTTTATTTTTGTTTTTTATTCATATCTATTTTTTTTTTTTTTGGCTGAAATGACAGACGCAGTTACACACACAAACACACACACACACGGGCGCGCACAACAAACGTGGCAATTTATATAAATGTTGCATATTCATAACTAGTAATGGAAAAACTTTGCACAATGAAATTATTGTGGCCAATGCGAGCGGAAATTTGTGCGCAGCTAATGAATGAGAGCTAGAGGCAGGGCAGGAAGAGGGGGAGACGGACAGTGACTGGCCAGTGACTGGATCTGCCCAGCGGGCAGCCTGTCTCATGTCTATTCCCTGCGTGGGCAGCTCCTCCTGCCAGAGTGAGGCCAGAGAGCAACTGCAACGGCAGCTCATTTATCTTTGGGGCATTATCAACAGCTCCGGCATCGGGTTTTTGGTGGCACAGTGTGCAATCCATGGTTAGCTGACAGCTGTGCATGTGTGTGGCAACACCTTCGAATACGTATGAATACACTCATTCGCGAGAGCTGCTGAAAAATGACAGCTGCTACGGGCTGATCGGGCTGCAAGCTGATCACAAATAATTGTGAGATGTGGCTGAGGAAACGGAATGGATTACCGAATGCACTGTGAGAAATGAAGTGCAACAAAATTTACAACTAAATTGAGTCAAGCAAGTGCTTGCTTGGTTAGATTTCATCTGATAATATTTAAGTAAATGTAAGTTATTTCATTGACATTCATTTATTATTTGCTTTCTTCAAAAAATAAGAGAAATGAACATATTTTTCGCTCAGTGTACAGACTCCTGCACAGCTTGAAGCAGCAATTGCCGAGTCGCTTTAATTTAACTAAAGCTCGGCTCAAATGGCGTTCACGTTGCGATTAGTTTGCCTCGTGTTCACAATTGCAACTAAAATTTCAATAATTGTCACATGTCGCAGCGCATTAAATTTCTTGATTAAACCAAGTCGAGTCAAATCGTGTCGAGGGTCGAGTTAAGAAATCGCGTTCCTGGCACCTGGCATCTGACACAGACCCAGGCACACGTAATGTGCTGCTGGCAGAAAGGGTTCATTAGGCAGAATGCTTGCCGACACCGGATACCAGCAGGATATGGGTTAATAAGACACAAGACGCGCTAAAGTGACAAACGCCAGGATGCTACGATGCCAGCCCAAGCCCTAGACTAAGCCCCTGTCATGCCATGCCCCGATGCCCCCCAGCATCTGCTGCATGGAAAGTCATTAGAGTTTCCTCTGCGGGAGGGGTGTTAGTTGCCCGTACTGCTGCGCAGGTGGTAAATATTGCCAAAGCGCCAGGCTGACTGCAAAAATACAGACACACACACACACTCGCATACCTATACAATTCACCAGGGGCGGGCCGGAGCTGAGGGCGTGGCATGCGTAGTGCGTCAACAACAGGCAACTGCCGCAACGCAAACAAGATTAATTAAGGAATGTAAATTTCGTCAAATTACTCGCCATTGTTTTGTGTGTGCGTGCGTTTGTGTGTGTGTTTGCGAGTGTGTGTGTGTGTGTGTGTGTGTGTGCTGACTGCTTTGAAAGGATGTTGAGATTTTTTCCATTAACAATATCATCAATGGGTGGTGTTTTTGAATGTTTCGCCCTTCGCGGACAAGGTCGAGCTCTTCCTATGTCGCGCGGTTCGCGGTCTGAACTGAGAGGTTGAAAGGCGTGTGCAGCTTTATTTTGGGAATTAGACGGATTTTTGACGGGCCAGCCCGCGGGCCACCCACCGCCAGCTTTTCAATTTCACTCGTCAACTCGCCTCAGAGGGTTGGCCAAAAATTTTTAATTAGTGTCGTCGTCGCTGACGTTCTCGCTGACAACGCATGCGGTCTGGTCTGGGCCATGGGCCGGCCCCCAGTGCCCAGTTTACCCTTTGTGTATTGTGTCAAAAGCATGCATAAATTATTATTATTATTTTGCCTCTTCTAATGAAGCCTGAAACAAGCAAGCACAAGATTATACAACTTGATGCCCAAACAAGAGTGAGAGTGTTCTAGAATGTGGAGTGTGGACGTAGATATTCGCAATGTTTAATATTCTTGAGCTGCATGGAATAGAGAACTACATGCATATTAAATTTATGGCAGAAAGACATCCCATTCTTCGAGCTATGCCTGAACATATTGATCGATATATCGATAATGCACAACATATTGAGCAAATATTTTAATTTATTTTGCGTGTGGTATAAGAGCATATGTATATTAAATTTAAAGTCTATAGCTCTTATACTACTCGAACTCGGCTGATCTAGAATGTATGTATATTAAATTTGGTCGGCCTGTGTCTGCCTGCCACATACATGTACCCTAGGGCATAAAAACATTCTAGAATATCCTGCGCAAAATGGGATGAGATATCCAGTTGCATGGTATGTAAGAGGTTTTTTAATGATTACACCCTTTACTCGAAAAAAAAATATAACAATTCGAATACATTTGGGCTATTAGCTGGGCACATGTGAACAGGTCTATTCGCAGAATTAGGTGATTAGGTGAGAGGATGTGGGAAATACTCGCAAGTAAAGTTGGCAAACTAAAGCAATTAGTGCTGGAACATGTGCGTGTCGGACAGTTGGAAAACCTAACGCCGCCTACCTGGCGCAGCCGAGTTTTTCCACTCACACACACACACACACACTCGTCCAACATGTGGCTGGTTGTTTACATTTGCGTGCCCAGAGGTCTGGAAAAGACACAGAGAAATCCATCCGCACGCTGCAGTCGTTTTGTACGTGTCGAAATGTGAATCCCGGCAAACAACAAAGTATCTGCAACATGCAACCTGCAACTGCAACGCATTTGTAACTGCAACTTATGTCTGGGCACATGCATTGTTCGTTCGTTTGTTTGTTTATTTTGTTTGTCATGGATTTACTGTGTCAGTGGGCCAGCAATTGGGTCGGGCCCGCGGTTCTTTTAGCTAAAATAAACTCCTAGTCAAAAGCAGCAGGAAATGTCGGTTGCCTGCCGCTAGACCCCTTCCAACTTCCTATCCACCCGTTCTCCATACGCACAAATTCTCTTCTGTTTGATGTTTTCATTTGCTGTGAAAATTATTTTACTGCTTCATTAGTTGATATACATATGTGCATGTATATTAGATGGAGAGCTGGACCTGGCCAAAAACCACCACCACCACCAGCAGCATTAAAGAATCCATCAATCAACGGGCAGGGCAGCGCGTGTAAACGAAATTCTGACAGCCATGAAATCGTGTAAACGCAATCTCAGCTGCACTCTCACAGACTCCGCTGCGAGCCAAAAACCAGGCGGGTTCTGCTGCCCGTCTGTTATCTGAGTGTGACGGACAGACAGACAGACAGAGCGACATGAATGATGGCACTCAAATTACATTAAATGGAATTTCAATTGAGGCAAAGACGAGCAAATCCTCCTACGCCTGATATCAGCCGCTGACAAGACAATGCCCCAGCGGCAACAAGAGCTGTAAATGGCATTTACATGTTCGCTGTCATAAGCCAATAGGCCGTTCCCCTCACCCTCCTTCCACTCAACCACCACTCACATTCCACACTCATTTGTCTCTTTAATGAATCAGCAGCAGATACAGATACAACTACAGATACAGATACAAATGCGGCTATATAGATACAAATGCGGCTGCACTCTGGCCATTGCAGTCATCAGGAGCTGCAATCAGACAAATGCAATTAGGATTTGACGACGCTTCGTGTGCCGCATTCTAAGCAGAATTGGCGAGCTGCGGCGGC